TCTACGGTGTCAATGAAGACGGACATGTATTGATGTACAGCATAATAAATAAATTTCATACGTGCACGTTTGAGCATAGTTTTGTCTCAGTCTCAGAATACACATAAAATAAAGTATTAGAAACTATGATATTCTTTGTTTGTAGTTAAACCTAGACGTTATATATATATATTCAACGGGTATTGTACCTGCTAAGGTACAGTTTCACAATAACAAATATGTTTATATATATTCAACGGGTATTGTACCTGCTAAGGTTTATATATATTCAACGGGTATTGTATCTGCTAAGGTACAGTTTCACAATAACAAATATGTTTATATATATTCAACGGGTATTGTACCTGCTAAGGTACAGTTTCACTATAACAAATATGTTTATATATATATATTCAACGGGTATTATCTGCTAAGGTACAGTTTCCCTATAACAAATATGTTTATATATATTCAACGGTATTGTACCTGCTAAGGTACAGTTTCACAATAACAAATATGTTTATTCTATATAAAATGTTTGTTTTTGTTTTACCGCAAAGCTGCACAATAGGCTATCTACGCTATGCCCACAGCGGAAATCGGATCCCAGATTTTAGCGTTGTAGCTTTCAAGGCTCAGCCATATTAAATTCAACCTGCAGCGCTTCTTACGTCACAACTTTCGCAAGTTAACATTTTTATGTTGAGATAGTTTGTTTCATTTGTTTGTTTACTTGTTGAATGTCACAAAATGCCACCTTCTTGAATACTCTTAATCATAAAGCGCCCTCTTCACTTAGAAAATAAAATGCAAATACTGAAAAGCAACAGATTGAGTGAAATCAAGAGTGCAACATAATTAACTTTTTTTAAAGTCCATGAAATAATTTAAACTGATAGATTAACTAAAACCTTTCCCGTCACTGGGGACGGGTACTTTTGCTTGTTACTTCTAAATCTGGGACGGCTAGTGCAAGTAGGTCTCGAGTAACTTTGCGCGAAATTCCAAAAACAAACAACACTGCTAAAGTTCAGACTTCACTCTCTGCTACAACTTCAGAAAAGTGCTTATCTTTTATGGAACTGTGTAAATAGATTACATAAATTCTTTATACAAATTTGAAACCACACGTGTGAAGATGTAATTTCTTTCGGAAAATACGCACAAACACTTATTGACATTTAGCCAAAACCCGTCGTCGACAAAATAAAAATAAGTGATAAAAGGAAAGATCTCAAGGCAGAAATTACGTTTTATTTGTTTCACAAACATCAAAGTTATACGAGGACTATCTGGCCATCACTGAGTTGGAGCTGATACACTAGAGGGCTTACCGCCAAGTCTTGAATATTTTTTGTGCCAACGGTACGAGATCCATAGGACCATGGATCC